ATTTTGTGAATGGTGACAGGGTTGACTTTGATGTGAAAAGGGTTAATGATATGCAAATTACCTAATTAATATGCACAGACGTAAGATCTTGATGCTTGTGTTCGACCAGACTTTGTTGACGCCTGTATAGAACATTAAATTGCCATTTGATAGAAAGAGATGGCCACACAGCATTTTCACATAGTCCCAAAATATGGTTTATGTAGCTAGAATACAATGTTTGGATGGTCAGTAATTGTACTTGCTCTAAAAAACAAATTAAAAAAAAGAAATATCTAATTTTACAATGTCAAATCACCATTTAAAAATCAATAAATTATGATATACCGGTAATATTTAAGTGTAATAATTTGTGTATTATTACTATGTTTATTCAAAGCCTCTCCCCAATACATCTTCTGCCTTTTATTAATGTTGCTTAATTCTTTTTCTCAATATAACAACTATTCATTTAAAGGCCATTACATCTACTGCCACATACTAGTGTATTTTCATTCTAAAATTAGTTTGTTCTCACTCTGTTATTGTAATCGTACTGTGTTGTTTCGTTTCATCACCAGCGTTTCTGGGAGCGCTGTTTGTGGACAAAAATATTGAATGGTGCAGAGTATTCTGTGAGGTGTGTTTCTTCCCAAGACTTAGGGTGAGTTTATATTTTAATACTGAACAGACTAGAAAAATTGAACTGAATAACAGATGTGAGAGTCGCATATTGGAATACTGTATTTGCTTTATTAACATAAAAATGTCTGAGGTGTGTAAATGGTCATAATACCGGTAAGTCATATTTAAATGATGCAGGAAACAATGAATAACAACAATTGGTTTTTGAAATTTATATGAAATTTATATAATATGTTAATTACACTGTAGTATTTTAATGTACAAAGAGACTGTTTATCTTGTTCATTCCCCAAAAACTCAGGATACACAATACATAAAAAACAATGCTTACTCGGTACTTGATGTCTTGTGTATATTATGATTTATTCCACTGACAAATGTTTTAATGATTGTCTTTTTTTAAGGACTTCATTATGAATCAAGACTGGAATGACCCCAAGTCACAACTACAGCAGTGCTGTCTGACACTCCGTACTGAAGGACTGGAGCCTGATATACCAGTCTACAAGTGAGAATTTGTTTGAATATATTTATATCCCCATTGGACATTTTTTGTAATTGAATGTTTGAATTAACAACTTTGTGACCCAATGAAGGTAACACATCCTGGTACTCTGTGACCCCATGGAGGTCACACATCCTGGTACTCTGTGACCACCATGGAGGTCACACATCCTGGTACTCTGTGACCCCATGAAGGTCACACATCCTGGTACTCTGTGACCCCATGAAGGTCACTCATCCTGGTACTCTGTGACCCCATGAAGGTCACACATCCTGGTACTCTGTGACCCCATGAAGGTCACACATCCTGGTACTTTGCGACCCCAATGAAGGTCACACATCCTGGTACTGAAATTAATACATTCTAATTTATGCAAAATCCCTATTCTTTCTGATAACTTCCACTCTGTACTCTCAACAGGATCGTGAACCAGATTGGTCCCTCACATTCCCGCAAATACACAGTAGCAGTTTATTTCAAATCTGAAAGACTAGCCATTGGTACATGGTCCAGGTAAGACACGTTTCTTTTCATTCACTGCAAACAAGCAATGTGAAATGTTCTTATTTTTCTTGCCTCACAAAGCTTTTATAAATTGTTCAAACAAAGAAATTTTCTTGTATTTCTTGTATAAATAAACTTATAATACTGAAATTAAAGAAATTTTGATGTATGCTTTTGTTACAGTGTTCAACAGGCTGAGATGATGGCAGCCAAGAATGCTTTGGATAATTGTAAGTCTTAGTTTCTCAATTACAGTGTCCCTTGGATTTATTAACCTTCAAATGTCATGGGTTGATCTATTGTATTGTCCATGGTTTTAACCTTTTCACCACCAGTTCCCTCTTTCCATCACAAATTCACAAAATAGTCCCGTTTATAGTTTGCAGTATCCTTCAAAAGATCGGAACAAAAATAGCCTTATTTTTTTTAGTAAAAATTAAAAATTGAGTGAAATTTTGTCTGTTGTCTCCAAAATGAGGGTTCATCCAGTTATATTGAAGAATATAAGAAAAAAAAAGTGCAGAAAAATTTGGGCAAGGAGGTCTTGTGGTTAACCACTGAAATATAACACCAGTTACATTTTCAAAGGCTTTTTTGTTGAACTTTTCCCAAGATGCAATCTGTGAACGTCTGCAGTGTCACCTGATGAAATTGTGTGTAAAAGTTGAATGATGGACATTGTTCTGGAAATTGAAATTACATTGTATTGGAATTTATTTTTGCTGAGGGATTGAATCAGTGAAAATACATATTTTCCCAATATTTTACATACAACTCATAACAAATCAGTGAAACTAAAACTTAATACAAAACAGCCAAAATGTTTGTTTTTTTTGTTTTTTTTTGAAAATTAATTAAAGCTAAAATAAAATATTCTACATCAAAAATCAGTGAAAATAAAACTTCATACAAAACAGCCAAAATGTTTTTGTTTTTTTGTGAAAATTAATTCGAGCTAAAATAATTTATTCTACAGTAAGTAAATAACATCAAATACACAGTGAAGTGAATATATATTTACTCTGCCATGTATTATGAGATTATTAGGAGAATACCAGAAAGTATCCACGAAGGCAGTACGGTGATCGTATCAACCAATGTGTTCCCTGCATGTACCCGGTAGTAATAATTTGATGACAGCCTGAAATGACAATGAGAAACATTTCATGCTGTGTACATTTTTGCATACATTGATGTAATTCTATTTTCATCACATGCTGAAAGTGCTTCTGTGTCTGAAGTAGTTTAAGTGTTCAAATGTGATGTAAATACGAAGCACATATTTCAAATAAGAAAGACATTCAAACACATTCCTAACCCTTTCGAACACATCTGTATGCCATTTTATTTTGTTTTTTTTATGAAACTTGAATTTCTATATAATATGATATTTTTTTTTATGGATATGATTTAATAATTTTATTAAAAATATCAATTTCAGATGAGTTCCCGCAGCTAAAACACCAGAAGAAATTCATTGAGTACAAATACAAGAAAACTATTCAGAAAAAAGGCCATGAGAGACCTGAAAAAGACAGACGTCAAAAGAGTACAACTTCAAGATCTTCAGAAATTTGATAAATATTTGTCTGGACACAATTTTATTAGCGAAGAAGAAAAAAACAAGTGCAACAGGGTCATGTATTCCCCTATGTTAGTGACTATGAATGTCCCCTATGTGATATATCATGTAGCAATGGGTTTCTGGCATGATTCACAGGATGAGTGGATTCAACTTACAGTTAAAAGAGATGTATGTGTTAAAATTCTGCATACACCTGCAATATTAACAGGACAGACTGAGCCTAACGTAACTCAAGCTAGCTTTGCCTTTTCATAGAAAGCTTTTTGAATTTTTAAAGTGAGTATCATTCTCACAAATAATTTTAACTTATTTTTTGCCTTAGTAAGAGACGTTTTTATAGTAGACAGATTACCCTGGGACATTTAGATAATTGTTGATTTTAAAAACAAATAAGCTGGTATGAACATCTGCTAACATGGATGTTGTTATCCCTCAATACTACAGTAAAATGTTACAGGATTTCAGCTCCTGTCAATGTATTAGCAAGTTTATGCAATAATATTTGGCAAACATACCGGTAGATGGTGAAATAGGATTGTTATAACATAGATTTTGTTTATCGGGGATGAATACAGGTGCTTGTCTGCCATTAGCATTTCTATCACATGCTGTGACAATGAGACTGGTGTCCCACAATGCCTTGGTGCAATTTTTTTTGATATGCTTTGCCTGTCATCTGTAATGAGTGCAATTTCTGAGCCCTGCTACCAGTAGCTGTCTCTTTGGGTTTTAGGGAATTTATTGGAAATAATTTTTTTTTCAAAAGTGACAAAATGTTTTCCTGAAGTGATTTGACTGTAGATAATAAGTCAAGTTAAGTATTAGTTTTGTTGATGTCAATGTATAACAATAAGAAACAGTTGCTCAGTTTCTCCATGCACCTTGGTTAGGTCACTGAGCAGGTTGTATGCAAACAAGGCTTGGGGTCACTGCATGGCACTGAATATATTTGTTAAGCTCAATTGATGATGGGATGGTACTGTGTGAAAGATGTATCTAGCCAGCTTAAAGCGGGAGTGTCGTCACCTGCACATGCGCCAGATACAAACAAACAAATGAAGGACATTGCGTACTATATGTATCGTTTGTTCCAAAATGGGAATGATGTCAGTCGCTCCACTTTAACACATGCATCAGAGGGCCATAGCTTGTTGTTTACAAACAAGCGTCTACCCATGAGCCTTTGCGTTTTTAGCGTGTGTTATCGTCGCTTGGGACTCAATTCCCGTGCGTGTGCAGGTGACGACCCTCTCGCATTAATATATTAGTATGATCTGTGTTTCACTTGCTATACACTAATCAACTAATACCTCGCTACATCATTTGTATTATCTCATTACCAATGCAGATGTGATGTCATAAGTGACTGATGAAATAAAATACTCAGTGTTCATTTGCCAGTTTATATAAGCTCTTCTTGCTTGGAATTCCACATAATCATGGATCTTAGATGATTGACAGCTGACTAATGAGATTGTACTAGCATTGTAGCTGATTAGTGGACTCGTGAGTGGAACAACATGTATATTCTAGTCTTTGTGCGCATCATCTCTATGAAGAGATGACAGCTTATCAAAGCCACACATCTAATGTCCAGAAAAAGTGCACTTTTGATGGAGAATATTTAAACTGTGCATTTATTCTGAAAATACCTTTACCCATTCAATGAGCTGCATTTTTTGAATATTTTTTAACGATACAGAGCCAAAATTGAAGTCCAAATAAGTAAATACCTGATGATGTAATGGCATATTTTTGGTAACCTGGTTTTATATTGATTATCAGTATTTGAGTCAAGTATTGACGATTATTTATATAAATTATGTGCAAAAAACTTGATTATGTGGTTAAACTTTTATTGTTTTTAATAAAGGAGAATAAGAACATTATATATACTGCTGTGAAACTTTTCTTTACATATTTAAAATTCTATAAAAATAAAAATTGTTTTTTCAACAACAAAAATCTAATGTACAACTTAAGATTTAAATACTATCATATTTATTATAAATCCAATGTAAAGTATACAAAAAATACCGGTCACTGGTAGCATAGTGGTTGTCGCATCAGACTCATGATCGGTAGACCCAAGTTCAAATCCTACCTTAGGCTGAATATCAAAAGGGTTAACCCCTACAGTGGGTGAGTGTGCCACAGACTCAATGGGAAGGCCAATTCCACTGGCCGAGATTCATTCACTAACGAATGCGACTTTGGGGGAACCTTTGTTAACATGAATATGACTTCTGTGGCAAAATGCACAAGGTGTCGTCACTAGCACTTGCAATTTGCACATACAAAAAAAAAATATCACATATGGACTAAAGGAAAGTACATGTAAAATTATACAGCCTTCATAATAACCTGTGCAGTACATTCTAGCTGAAATAAGATTTCATACGCCGAGTTTTGTCACCAAAAAACTCAAATATGGCTACCAATACCATCTAAGTTCTCCATAACAACCGCTTATGTGTACAGCAGTTCATACCGCGTCATTGGACCATAAAATAACCTAATTGAATTAGTATTTGTATTTAAAAGATTGTCCTCCATAAGGTTATTAAGCGAATACTAATAAATATGTGCAAGGATGTATAAGATAAGGGTTTGCAACTTGGATATGTGCAATGAAGATCTCATTCCATGCGAGTTGCATAGGCGTGTCAAAACTTATTCTGACCAATGGAATCACAGAAAGCAATGAACGTTTGGAAAGATTCAATTGCTGAAACAGAAATGAGTTTGGATATTTACCGGTAAACTGTTATCACCCGATTCAAACTTTTAATACACGCTTGAAAAAACAATGAACAATCGCCCTCTCTTTCACAGACTTGGTCACTTATTCTACATTTTTTTTTTTTTTTCAAAATGCATGTTTTCTATTTGCAATTATCCTACAATTCATGTGACTTCCAATATGGAATCTTTATCGCAAATCACACCTGTCCAGTTGCATACTCGTATAAATGTGTGCAGTGATGATGGTCTTGTGTATAATAGAAATTGATGCGAAACAAATTTATATGCATTATCTGCATAATTTCTTACATATCTGTTCTACAATTAGAATTTAATATTAGAAAACAACCAAACAATGTTGATTCAACAATTTTTTGTGCAAGTGATCTCATTCAACATCTATGAAGTCCCCAATTACGTTGCGCCCTTCTCAGTCATTTAGTCTGCTGAATATGCACAGTGCACATTAGTTGACTAGAACCCTTCGATAATTGTAAGAATTTAAAAAATCTATTAATAGTGTGGATGGGTAAGACAGTTTGCATGGTAATGTACTGAAGTTATGGAGACAGCCAATCAATTGTGTGCCGACTACGTAGTCACAAAGCGATTGTCAGGCCATTCTTGTAAGTACTCAGAATGAATGGATTCCAGGCTAGAACATCAGCAATGAACTTGAATTTTTCCACAATAAAAACATTGATATGTACAATTTGGTTCAAGAAGTTTTGCAGTGTTTCCAACCCTTGTGTCAAACTCATATGGACAAAATCTGATGGAACTTTGTGCTACAGTAGTAATGTTAACTAGTTTTATAGTGTCAGTCTTATCCAATCTTGATAATTATACTAAAAAGTGCATGGCCGAATTTCAACATCTTGAACATTATGTTGTCTTGATTTTCTTTGAAGATGGACTCCCTTCTGCATCTTGCTTAAGTTTCTGTTTCCTTGGACTTGTTCTTTGTTCTGTTTTAATCCAAGATTTCAGTGCATTTTTTACTGGTTTCTGTGGGCTCTGTTTTAATGGAGACTCTGACTTTTGTGGGTCAGATTTTGTTCCTTTGCTCAACCATGCTGCCATCATTTTGCTTTCTGGTTTGGGTTTTCTAAAATTAGAAAAAAAAATTGAAAACTCAGTACGACATCTTAATCATGCATTTTTCAACAGACTAAAGATGCATCAAAAAATCTCTGAATAGTAACATTCGCCAAGCAATAACAAAGTGGCAATGACTACACAAATGTACAAAGCTAATTTCATTTGAGCAGTCCATTTATCTAGAGATGGAGAGACTGAAATAAAGTAGCAACGTGGGAAATAACATCAGGTATTCCATTAGACAAACCATAAGAAAGACATATGTACTAGTGTAATCTCCTATATCTAAGCTTTCAGATTAAATATAGATTGTTATAGTAGCATGATTTAACTTTTAGAGCATGTTTGAATCACTGATCAATTTTTAACTTGTTTCCCCCCTGTTGCTCTGAAAGAAAATTTAATATTTACATATTTATGGCTGCCAGTTTTTGCCACGGAAAAGTAATTATCACATTTAGAGGCAAGCTAGTAAATTTAAACAATTACATGTCAAGCTTTGTCATAATTAAAGTTTTTCTGTGATAATAAAGTACTATCATAAAATCTGTATTAGAAGCTGTATCCCTTATAGGAGCTGCACCCATTCTATTTGAACAATTGAGAACCAAAAATTCACCATTTTTCATGTGTAGATGCTCAGTTCTGCGTCACTTTAAATTTTCGTTTAAGGATATTATGACTACAAAGGTTACACCAATCCCAGTGATTTGTTCTGCCTAAAATACAACTCTTCCTCAGGCTCCTAAAACGTACATATTTTTTATATTACCAAATTAAGGAAGTATTCATTCCATTCAAAAAGTCTTAATATGAACTCACTTTAAATCCACTGGTACAACACATTCAGGTTCCTTATTTCTGACATTGTTCACAACCATTGACACAGGATGCCATTCTATCTTTCCTGTTGATTTAATCAAACTCAATGCTTGATTCTTGTCAATACTTCCAGCGTCCAGCCAATCTCGTACGGCATCCTCACCATCCAAGATGGCAGGCATTCGGTCATGTAACCATGAGATCTCTGGTGATGCTTGCACTGTGATGACAGAGTACGTGTACAGTGGTTCATCTCCCTGAATAGAATCAAAATAAATATATAATTTGACAGATATTATACTTCAATCAAAAGAATCAACATTTCCCACCACTGAGGGCGTTGTGTAAAAAAAGCTTGGGCTGCGAGACTGAATAAATAAAATATTGAGGAGGCCATTTCCAAGATTTTCCATGGTAATGTTTCTCACAAAATAGTTAACTTTACAACAAGTATGTATTATTTTATTTTGATGAAGCATGACTTCACATATACAGTTGTACATCTACCAAATCAAATTTTAGAATTATTAATGGTTGAGATCATCTTACAAATTTTGAATCTATTTAACATGCGTTATATGGGACCAATACCAAAATCAACATGTCCTAGTGACCACCACTTTGAATTAACTTACCATTAACTAACTTACTATTAAGATATAATAAATTAATATAATGGGGTAAGGAACAGGATCACTGTTTTCAACTCTGAATGATCATAGATTTGAAAGGTTGTCAGATCTGAATCAGATTTATTATTTTACACACAAAGCAACACTATTTTACACACTATGCAACACAAAAAAATGGGGTAGCTGATCTATGTTTCAAGATAGATTTCACAGAATCACAGATTCAAATAATTATAATTCAAAATGGCCATTTTCTGTGTTTTAATACTTTACCAATGTTTTAACTGATATGACACAAACGATATAAGAGAAAATAATTATGATTTCCAGGGATCACATTCCTTAAAGAGGCACTGTCACCAGAACTGTGCTTGTACATAGGAGAGGCTCACACAACAAAGAATGCTTACATATTAATAGTGACCAGTTTTTCAAGATCTGAGCTAAAGCCAGTTCCACATTTTCAGGTAAGTGAGTAAATTCAAACAAATGTCAAAATTATCGTGTCATACTTGTTCATTGTTGTAATGATAAAGTACAATACAGTTATGACAGCGAGAACCATTTTTGTGAACTGCATATGATGCAGAATGTAAGTAAAAACTAGAGAAGAAAAGAACAATAGATAATCGAACATAAGCAAAGTTTTGATGACAGTGTCGCAGAAAAAAAAAAAAGTTTTCACATGTTTTTGTTGGTACAACCATAATTGAGAAAAATAAGTACCTCTTTCTCTGGCCTGACAACATCAAAGATTCCCGCCATTGTCAACAATTTCTGTCCGATCCAGTTTCCATCACAATCATAATTCTTTTCCGATTTCTCCTCCGTTGTTTCCCACATCTTAGTTTCTTGGGGAAAGTAAATGAAATATGGCTGCTTTTTACCATCTTTGGTTTTCTTCCATTCATAGAAGCTAAAACAAAAAAAGAATGTAATCTGCATTTATTCCTTAACCTCTGATACATTAATAAGCTAAATATATTCTCGTTGAAATGTTAGCATGAAACACAAATACCTTAAGTTAATCTTATTTATAATTGCTCAAATTACACAAATTCAGAGAGGTGATGCACACATTGACCAGAAATGTGAATACTTGTTGGGGGAATCTAAGACATCAACCTTTTCATTTGGAAGTCAACATCTAATTATAGTACCGGTATGCCCTCTATGGTGAAACATAAAAAGTAAAAAAAAATGTCACCCAGAAAAAAAAAATAACCAGAAATATTTTGTGCAGAGTGTAATCTTGAACAAAACAGTAATGCAATTTTATCATAATTATAACTCACCCATCAGCCAGAACCACGCATCTTCTTCCTCTTTCAAATGGTCTTTTAAAAATGGCTTTCTGTGTCAAGCTATCATCTCGGCAGTTCATGGTACTATAGCCAAATTTGCCAGCACTACCACTTTTATGCCATGAAGGCACCAGTCCCCATTTCATTGGCGTGATTACACGTTCATCAATACAACTTTTTTCTCCATCTACAGCAGCTTTGGATACTAATATAGGACTGCTCAGGAAAAAACCAACAACATAAAGTTGAAAAATAACATAAAAAAACATGCAAGTATGTCAAGAAAATGTCTATGGTACCAGTACTGCAGATGAGATCCTATTAATCTCTGCTAACCCAAAACAAAAACAAGTCATTGTCAATGACACGTCCCCGTTCCGTTCATATTTGAGTGACATATACATTCAAAGCAGATCATGACCGAAATGCACCTGCATATGTACAACACATTGTGCTAAATCTGAACAAAATCCATCCATGCATGACTGAGATCCGGTTCTGGAATTGTGAAAATACGTGATTTTGATGCATTTTCGGCCTTAAAATGGCCATCATTCGGCTATTGTTAAGCAGATCATGAAACAAATGCACATATCTATTTGTGACATGATGTACCATGTGTGTGTGAAGTTTGAACTTGATCAATCCAGACATGTCTTGGATACGGATCCAGAACTGAATTCTTTAACAAAATGGCCTCCAGTCGGCCATTTCGACTTGATCCGAAAAAAAAAAAGACGTGCATCAAGGTCCTATTATGTTTAATGTATGTACCAAATTTGAACAAAATCCATCCATGCATAACTGAGATAGGGTCCGGAATGGTGAAAATGTGCGATTTCAATGTATTTTCGGCCTTAAAGCGGCCGCCATTTGGCTATCGTTAATGAGATCATGAAACAAATGCACATACATATTTGTGACATGATGTACCTTGTGTGTGTGAAGTTTGAACTTGATCAATCCAGACATGTCTCGGATACGGATCCAGAACTGAATTCTTTAAAAGAAAATGGCCACCAGTCAGCCATTTCGTACTTGATCCGAAAAAAAAAATGACGTGCATCAAGGTCCTATTATGTTTAATGTATGTACCAAATTTGAACGAAATCAGTCCATGCAAAACTGAGATCCGGGTCCGGAATGGTGAAAATGTGCGATTTCAATGCATTTTCTGCCTTAAAATGGCCGCTATTCGGCTATCGTTAATCAGATCATGAAAAAAATGCATGTGCATATGTCCCATATAATGTGTAATGTATGAGTGAAGTTTGAACTTAATCGGTTCATGCATGTTCGAGATACAGGTGATCACGGACGCACGCACGCACGGACGCACACAGGGCAAAACATAAGTCCCCGTTTTCAGACTACGTCCGAACGGGGACTAAAAATGGCATATATCCCAAAAAAATGAAATAAAAATCTATTGTCTAACGTTGGTTACATCGCATAATAAAGGCTGAGATAGCTCCGCTGTTAGCAATGCACATTTCAATTAAAGAACTGAAGATATCATTAGAAATTGAACAATATGTATAGTGTCGCATACGACTTGTTTACCACTTCCATGTGACTGAGAATGTTCTAGAACCGTACTGTGTCTGGGTGGAATATTTAGAAGTTGGTTGAATAGGTAATAGGACACTGTAGAAGGCAATAGAAGGTAATGGAACATTCTAGAAATTTGAAGTAAGTTCCAGACTCATTATGTATGCTGATGTAATGGTCTATTTATAGACAGTGTGGGTATATATAGGGGAGTTGTTCAGCACCGAGATCAGATCGGAGATCTCGTTGAATTGTGTTGTTGTTTAAGTATCTAGTTATTGCAGTAGTGGAGTTTTACCCCGGTATTGTACTTGATGTTTGCAGAGTATAATAATACCAGTACCAGTTGAAACCTCATCTGTTGGCTTCGTGTTCGTATTTTATCATCGCCGCCAGGGAAGTCTTTCTGTTACTGTTGCCATTTTGGTATTTGAACCATCACACCTGTACTATACCAATTACGGTAATATTACGTTGCGTGTGACATATAGTATCAAAGCAATCAGACTTGCTGTTTTCAGGAAGAATTTGAAAATATCACTTTTTACCAAAAATGACATAAATATTCATCAAAATTAGATAATTAAAAATATCATCACAAAATGAACAAATCTGAGAGAGGTCCACATGTAGTACCTATAAATGTAATATCAAAGCAATTGGACTTGCCGTTTTTTTAATTGAAGTCGAAAATATCACTTTTTGCCAAAAATGAC